TATGCGTCACTACACAGTTTACTGCAGTACTACGCACCTGGGTAGCTTCACTGTACTGTAAGCCAAGCTTCTTGACCTGCTCTGTTTACCAGTTCACGCTGGAGGATGTGCAAACCGAGAACAATACTCCGAAGTAATTTCATAGGGAGCCTGCCCACTTGTGTTGGCAGTGTATGCACGCAGTGGTAAAACATTAAATTTCCAAAATGTTTTGCAGACATTCACAAGTCCATTGAGGTGGGTAGGCCGTTCCTACACTGAGTGACAATTTTTTTCTGTTTCAGTCCAGACCAAGTTGTTGGGGAGGGGCACAGATATGTCCCCATAACATTTTGGGTCCTCATAGCATCTATGTTTCAATGCGCCTGTAGTCCCCACAATGACAGAAGAAGTATGTGCGTCTTTGTATGTGCTGAACTTTGCCACTATACATGACCTTTGTTGTAGAAAATAGAGGCTTTACGTGGTAGCCATCTTGAAGGGCAGGAAAGGAAACAAAACCATTGGCCTGCAAGATGGCAACTGTGCAAAACCTCTGCATTGCTCTGCCAGGGCCTGAGGTATCCCACTTTGTATAAAAAATGGCTCTGATGTCTTGCCTACGATAGCGCTGGAGTGCCGTCCAGTATACATTTTCAGAGAGTGAAGTATGTTTTTTCCACGTTTGTTTAAACTTCATTTATACAATATATTTTTTCTGAGTTCATTTGTTTGAGATATGTATTCTCCAGTTTCTTCCCATAAGATCCATAGATAGAAACATTGTTTCTTTTTCTGGGAACAAATTGTTTTTTTACAAGATGTATTTTTCAAAGTGCATTTTTAGGATTTTTTTAATGAGTAATATTTTTTGGTGAGAAATAATCTAAACCTGACAATGTATATCTCCTGAAAATTAACTTGGAAAAAAGATATCTCCCATAAAAACAAACTTCATGAAAAAAATATCTCGGAAAAATGATTTGTTACCAAAAATAGAAACAATGGTTCTGAAAAATGCATCTCCTAAAAATGGACATTGAAAAACTATACTTCACTTTTTGGAAATCTGTACGTGATGGCACTACAGGGCTTTCGTACTTGCCATCTAAAAGTCAAGATTTTTTGTGCCAAATATAATACAAAGATATTAAAAACATGGAAAAAACTATCAACATACTGTAAAGCTGGGTAGCTCAGTTAGTTGAGAGCGGGTATGGCGCTTTGACTTCCTGCTCCTTTAATTTCTTTATTAGCAAATAGTTCATGTCACTATTATTAGCATTTCATGTCTATTCTTTCCACTTTTGAGGGGCTTATACTAGAACTAGATCTTTTTCCATTTGAATTCTTTCAGTTACTTTTATTTGTTCTGTTAATACTTTTAATTTTGGTCTCTGTTGGCGCTCTAATGGCCGGTCCGTACTTCAGGGGAATGCGAAAGTTAAGATTGGGCATCACGGAACATTTGCTGGTATATTCGTTCTGTGCATTCATCTTCTGCGAATTGGCAGCAGGAATATTTGAGATGATGTCACAGTTCCGTGTTCATGATGGCTTCCATGCATAGGGTGCCTTTTATTCATATTTCTATGTAAATACAAATGTCCATATTCATGAGAAAAACTGTACAATGTAATGTCAAGTTAGGCAGGGGGGTTCAGGGTAACACTTCATTTCATTTGGGGTTTAGGCTTTATTTATGTGTACTCAGTTCAGCACAAAAGCAGTGTCTACGAAACTGTAAATAGTAAAAAGCACATTTCTGCAATATTTAGTTCACACGGAATCGACAATTCTTTTTTTTTAGCATTTAGGGGCACCTGGTATGGCACAAAATGCATTTTAGTAGGATATCATTCCATAAATCCTGTAGAGGACCACAAATGGGCTAAAAGGATTATGTCCATGCAAGAAAAGTTACCCGTTCAAAAAGAGAAATGTTGAGGCTACAGCGGGGGCTCTTGGAAAACCATTTTATAGTTTATTTTCATCATGCAGTTACAATTTATACAAATATCCTATGATTAAGCCCTCCAAGATGGCTGCCGTATATCATCTCTATTGCCTCCTGAATGCCAAATATAAGTAGCGTGATTCAAAGATTTATCTTGGCAGCCCAGAAGTTAGATTTGTGTGATTGTTAATGAGTACAAAAAAGATAATTTATATGCGAATGATATTCCTGGGATTTCACTTCAGGAGTGAAACTCTTCGTTGTTTGAATACTTGAAACAAATAAACTTTCTGAAAAGAAGACAGTGTTTGCACCTGGAAATGGTAGTCATGCGTCCTTTTTTTTATATCAAGGGGATAAAAATTGTTACCAAACAGTGACTGACACCACACCGAGCTGAGTCTTAATGTGTGTTTTACATCCGCAAAAACCTGAGAGGGAAAAAAGTGCATCGTAAGAACCAAACGGGTGGATCCGGTGGAGCCAATGTGGGCCACCCCACCCCCCCAAAAAAACTCCACATTTTTTGATAAAAGGAAGACGATATTTTTGGCCGATTTCATTTCCTTCTCAAACCCCCCAGAAAATGCAAAAGGTTACAGGAAAA